CTCGTCTACTCCTTCATTGGCTTTTCTACGTGTCCTATACCTAGCATGGATGACTAATGGCCTTGTATCACATATTTCTAGAATAATTCTCATATTTTTCCCTTGTTGTAAAAAAATATATATCCTTCATACATTTGTTCTAAATAATCATGTCTTTTGTTTAATGTCTGTAGATTATAAAAATTAAGATTGTGAATTTTTTCTTATGCAGCATGCTATTACACGGTCTTACTTGGGGTGAAACTGATGGTGATCTTGAGGTATCTGTTATTTCCCCGTTAAATTGTTACCTGCAGAATTGTTGGGTGCTGTTGCAAATATTAAGGGCATTTGGTCTTGTGCGAGAACCATTTAGCTGACTATTGTTGGACTGCAGATATGTAGCAGAGCTGCCAGTGTTCTTTCTCATGTATTGAAGGACAATCTCCACTGTAAGGAAAGGGTATGCAATTCTCCATCTTATTTTATTTAGTGTCAGAGTTAGGACCCTGAAGTCTATGGGGGCCTTTTCTAGGCATATTCTTATGCTTCCTTTTTTTCTAACAAGTTTTGTGATTAATGTTTTGTAAAACAAATTAAATCACCAGCGTACTCATGGTGTCTTAATGTGTTTAAATAATAAAGGTTTGAGCCTGTAATTTCTATCATTGTAGTGGGATATTGTAAGGCATATAATTCATTGATGAGTAACAATAGCTTCTTCAAAATTGAGAAACCAGCTGAGCTGGCCTCTCAGTTATCTTGTTCTTTTCTTTCTTTTTCATCCATTCTCTTGTTTCTCATTGGTTGTTGGAAAGAACTTTCATGAACACTGTTCTGCAGCCAGTATGTATTTATGCTCTTTTCCGGTAACATATTTATTCATAATCCCTGTCTAGGCCTTAATGCATTGCGCTACGGTATAAATGTGTCATTTGCCCCACCCTTCCCCAAATTAAAAAAATGGAAAAAATGGTCAACACCTTCTGGGATAATTTGCAGGTTTTACAAATTGAAATTGAAGCACCCGTGCCATCTTTAGGAGGTCCAGAGCCATTAATGCATCGGATGGTGAAATATTTGGCCCTTGCTTCTTCCATGAAAAGCAAGGAAGGAAAGTCTAGTGCGTCAGGAAACTCGTATGTTGAAGCAATAATCTTGAAATTACTGGTTACCTGGCTAGCAGATTACCCTAATGCAGTGCAATGCTTCCTTGATGCTCGTCCCCACCTTACTTATCTTCTTGAGTTGGTTTCAAGTTCATCCACGACAGTGTGCATTAGGGGTTTGGCAGCAGTTGTCTTGGGTGAATGTGTGATCTATAACAAATCTAGTGAGAGTGGAAAGGATGCATTTGCCATAGTTGATGCTTTAAGCCAGAAAGTTGGCCTCAGTTCGTACTTTCTGAAGTTTGATGAGATGCAGAAAAGTTTAATCTTTATCAATGCTGGGTCAGCCCTGACTCGTAGAGCATTCACTAGATCATCAGCCGCTAGCATGGCTGATATTCAAGATGTAGACGAGAATGATTTGTCTGAACAGGGAAATCTTGATCATCCAATTCTCTCCTCAATCTTGGATTCATATTTTGTGAACCTCGTGAAAAGACTGGAGATAAATATTAGAGAACAGATTGTGGAGGTATATAGTCATCCAAAAATCAATGTGGCAGTGGTTCCGGCTGAATTGGAGCAGAAAACCAATGAAAGTGACAGCGACTATGTAAAGCGGCTTAAAGCTTTTGTTGAGAAGCAGTGCTCTGAAATTCAGGTCTTTATTTATACACATCTGTTTCCTTAAATTTTTTTTTTTTTTTTTTTTTTTTTACAAGCGTCACACGGTAAGTGTCGAATCTGTTTTAAAAAATCGTCCTTGCTGCTATTAGGAGGGAACTGGTTGAATTGTGCCAGAATTAAACCTACAGATTGGAGGGCATTTGTTTACATGCTTCTAATGGAATTATGATTTGCGTAAGTGAGATTCTTGAGTGTGTTTCAATAACGTACTTTGTGACCTTGGACAGCAAAATAACAGCATCAGTTCTGTGAAGGATGCTACAATGAACTGTTCTTGACACAATTATTTTTGCCAAAACCAAGTAAGGCTTGCTTGTCTCGGTTTCCACTAGTAAATCCATTATCAACCACATACACATGCCAGATGATCACGTATTGATACAATGGGAAGGATCGAGAACCTCTAGAGTTTGGACGATAGCGAACAGCATTGTAGAAAGCATGGTTTGGCAAGTACTTTACTTGGTAATTCTGTTTTGTTTTTTTTACTATTTCAGAATCTTCTTGTTCGGAATGCAACTTTGGCTGAGGACCTGGCTAAGACAGGTGGAGGTCAGAATTCCCAGTCGGAGCAAAGAGTGAGTGGGGGTTCAGACAGAGTCCAACTAGAAACACTCCGTAGAGATCTACAGGAGTCATCTCAAAGGATAGAGATCCTTAAAGCGGAAAAGGCCAAAGTGGAATCTGAGGCAATCATGTATCGGAACTTAGCCGGAAAGATGGAAGCTGATCTGAGGAGTCTGTCTGATGCCTACAATAGCCTTGAGCAGTCTAATGTCCAACTGGAGAAGGAGGTGAAAGCTCTGAAGAGCAGTGGATCATCAACATTGGCTGATGTGGAGGCCATAAGAGCTGAAGCAAGGGAAGAAGCACAGAAGGAGAGTGAAGGTGAACTGAATGATTTGCTCGTGTGCTTAGGCCAAGAACAGAGCAGGGTGGATAGACTTAGCGCTAGATTACTGGAGTTGGGCGAAGATGTTGAAAAGTTACTAGAGGGCATCGGAGATGATGCCGGAGATGCTGAAGATGGCAATGATGAAGACACTGATTAGTGCACCATTAGCTGCCTTCTGGCGGCTAGGTTTGTACATTTCATGCTGAATTGTACAGTAATACTCCGGGGTTGTCTTTCAATTCATGCTTCATTCTGAACCTCTGGTGGTTACTCTGCTACTTTATGTTGTTCAGAGTGACTCACCTTTTATTTATGATATACAGATCATATTCCTTTCAATATTCCATTAAGAACTGCCTTCAATATAATATTGTACGGGGGAATAGTGTAAAATCATAAATGAAATGGTAGTTGAAAAAAATGGGGTGGGCTAGAATGGAGTGACTGGTTGTGTTTCATTCCACCATTTGGGATCTTTGTTCTGGTTGTGTTTCTTTTTCTTTCCTTTCCTTTCCATAATTGAATTGGGACCACTAGGGCTAATAAAGACTAGGCTTGATGGGTATCTTTTTAAGCCATGCATTTTGAGGGTTGCACTTTAAAAAAAAATAAAGGATTTTGGCATAAAAGAATTTTCAAGTTCGAGTCTTAAACCCTGCAAAAATGAGCTAAATTTAGGGCTAGTCCTTATAATTTTTTTTATATAATCATGTATATAATTTACTTAAAATTTTGAAGTAATATATGAAAATAATATAATTTATTAAATATTAATTTTAGGTAACAAGAGGAAGGTGAAGTTGAAACTTGAAATAGCATTACCTTGCGCAAGTAGACTTGCTTCAAGAGGGTGTAATGTTTTTGTTTTTAAATTAAGATTGTTAATAATAACTAAAAAATATTTACATTTTAGATGATAGACTATTTAGACTTATATAAACCTAAATTATATTTCAGAATTTAAGTTATTATACTTCAAAGCTTATTATTATATTTTAGACATTTAATTAAAATGCTCTGTAATTTATATATGTATTAGAATAATTAAAAAATACAAAATTATATGAGCTTCCAAACTCAACCCTAAACCTTGTCAATAAACACCACGCTTATGAAAAGCGTTACTTTTAAAATAAAAACCTATAAACTTAAACCCTTGAATACTAGATTTTTAGGAAGACTAAACCAACCCTTGTTAATAACTCTAGGAACGACACACTCACTTCAGGGTGGGTTAGGCCATGCAATTGGCATAATACTTAGCCAGGTTTGACATGTATTTTAAATTTTTGCCTTTATGAATCGTATTATGAAATTGTTTTATATATATTATTTAATAAGTTGATGATATAATTATCAAGTCAAACTTTTATTATGATTACAATTATTTTAATTTTATTTCAAATTTGTAATGGATTTAATATTGAAGTTTGAATAATTTTACTTTTCATTGTGACATTTTTACCAGGCCAACTCTAGATTAACCCAACCCATTAAGTGTCAACTTACGAGACCAATTAATACATTACATTCTGTTGCAGAATTAAGGGGTATCTTTAAAGGAATCAAAATCTGTTATAATTGGCAAATCTGATAAAATTAACATTTATTCTGATTCTCTTTAAATTTTTATGCTCATCCAACATAATTTCTCTCTGATAATCATCACCTCATTGAAATTATTAAAAAAAAATTCAAAAAAATTTGCCATGAAATTGAACAATCACATTTGACATTTTTAGAGAAGTGAATAAAACACTAATTGACTTGCACATCAAACTTATAACGATAATTTAGATATTAAATTTATTATTTTTCCGTCCAATGGGCAACGGGTGTAAGATGCTTTTAACTCTAACATGACTTGATTTGTCCATATTTTGCACAGAATTTTTTGTAGCCTTGTATTAAAAAAAAAAAAGTAGACCACCTATTTTTACCTATCAAAGCTTAAAATTATAAAATCAAAATTATAACTTAACACTGTACTAGACCAGTTCACCTCGAACTGATTATTAATAGAAAAGTCTGTCATATACTTCTTTTACAGTTATGCCTGAATCTAGTAACAGACCATTTAATAAAATAGAATAAAAATTAAAATAAAATGATCTTATACATAATATATGTATTTTACATTTTAAAATTAAAAAAATAATACAAATATATATTATTAAATATTAAAAATATAATATACATATTTTTTTATAAGAAAAAACATTTAATATAAAGAGAAATGAGTACTTCTCCCTCACTAACCCAATGCCCTGAGAGTGTGCGATGTGAGTAACTATCATTTAAAAAAAAAATTAAAACAAAAAAAAAAAACAAAACAAAACAAAGAGAACTTGCATCACCAGTATGATATATCATCTCAACGGCGCTTGTACAAACAAGGTTTTAATACAGGCCATTCAATTTCCTTCCTTCTAGATTTTTGCTTATCCTACAGACAAAGGAGCAAGTTAAGTTTAACTTTCGAGTGAGGTTCAATAACATAAAGGGAAAGCATAATATTTGGTTCTTATAATTTTATTGGGTTTTGTTTTTAATCTTTATAATTTTTTTCCCGTGTTTTCAATCCCTATAAGGACTAAAATCACTGAAAAAAGAAAACTATAGGATCTAAAAAACAAATATTACCCAATATTTCTAAAACTATAGGGGACTAAAACATTAGAAAAAAAGTACAGGGACTAAAAACAAAACTCGATGAAACTATAAGAATCAAAGATTGTGTTTTCCTTCACATAAACTATAAATAACAAATAGTTGAGAAAAAAGGACTCACCTTTTTCTTGAAGTAAAATAAAATAAACACCTTATTTGAGAAGTCCTGCATGTTACTTATACAAGTTAGTACACGCAAATGGTAGGTTACAGACTTCATTAAGAAGAGAATTATCTTACCTGTTTTACTTTGAGAAACCCAAGCTCAGAAATAGCCATTGAAAACTTTTCTGGGTCTGCTCCTCCAGTATTTGGATCAAACCTGCTTCTTACTTCTGCTATTAAAAGCCAGCCACTGCTAAGAAATATGTTAAGTCAGACCCTTACTGGAAAGGCATCACTAATCTGAAAGCTTAAGGCATAGAAGTTTCAAACCCTGGCTTAAGCACTCTGTATGCTTCTTCAAGATAACTTGAGTAATTGGTCCCCATCAACGAAAGACAGAAGACAGAAACGTCAGCAGATGAGGTGTCAAGAGGCGTCTGCATGTAATTACTGAAAAGATTAGGGACTTCGCAACTTATCCTGATTTCAAGTCTTTCAAGAAAAGTTTTTGGATTGTTCACCTCCCTGGACCATGCATTCAATATTTTACCACAGAAATAGCGTTCAATATATCGTACACCCGTAATCACCCACCATAGTAACTACAGATTCGAGCTTAAAAGCATACTTTTTTTTTTTTTGGGTAAACAAAAGCACACACATTACTACATTGGGACAGCAAAAAGACACTTCTGTTCTCTTTGGGTGTACTAACCGACCAACATTTCTTTAACGTTGTTAAATGGTGAGCAAAAAGCAAACCCAAGAAAACCGACTCCCAGATAATCTCAGTATTGGACTACATGAGACTGTGAATGCAAACTTGAAGCTGAACAAATGAACAACTATTGTCACAATATTCTACCAATTACAACGGCTCAATTTTAGGTTATTGTTTTCAGCAATTGGTTTGAAGAATACATTGAGATACTCACGGGCACGCCCTAATGAAATAAATACCAGAAGGAGCAAAAATCAGTTCAGTTTTTTGTTTAATTTAATGTATAAAAGCAAAGGCAACCAGTAAGATTACTGAACAACGCTAGAAAAGTAACTTAATGTGAACTGTTCTTTAAGATCAGAAATACATACATTTGCCATGTCACAGGCAATTACTTTTGGATCTCTGGAGACAAGATCCAGGGAGAAGACTGTATTCTTCACACTTTTTGCAATGAGTGCATCCCCTGGAACAACACGGGGAATCAAACAATTTAGCAGCGAGTAAATGAACAACTTGAATGGCGTCACAAAGCAATCATATAAATTATAGTTGGGCTAAGTGCTCACCACAGCCAAAATCTGCTACAACCAGAGAAGGGCACTGTGTTTTCAGCCAGTTTATAATGACATTAACAGGCTGCTCAGGCCATTGCGACATTTGCATTTTGTATCCTGCATGATACTATTGCTAACCAGATAAACAAAAGACTAATTGACACAGCCAAGAAGATGAGCAACACATCCTTACATTCTACCAATAAGTCTGTTTTATTAATGTGCAGGAATACGAGGTTAAAATACACATGAACATATCAACATCCTACTATGGAAAAGAAAATGGAGACTAGTGACTAGTTGATCAAGATTCAAGACACCAAAAAAAAGGAGATTTTCTCACTGACCCACAATGCGAAAATGTACCGTATCAATGGGTATTGAATTTTACATGTGTGTGTGTTTAAGCAATGCATTTAAATCCATTACCTTTGGCAGATAAATGATAAAGATACAAGAGGTAAAGACACAGCATTAACCATCAAAAACCCTAAACCTCACAGGCATTACGGTTTCTGCTCCTTAGAAGACAGTATTGCACTTGAAAGAGAAACTGATATGCTGCCCCTTATCAACAAATACTTCAGAAGGAAATGTCAAGAAAATAAGTTCGCACTGGCAAGTTTGGCAAACATGAGTTTCTGAGATGGAGATAGCCGAAGGAAATTCTGCTGATAACAGCCTATGATCTCTCACGAGATCCACATATACATCAACTTGTGGCCGGGCCTTTCAATACTTCCACCATTCCAATAACTCCTTATTTTTAGTCTATGTGATGTAATACATGACCAAATCTCTAGGATGTTTGCTATCAACATAGAGTTGGGTTTGGTCTTTAGGATTATCATAACCTGACCAAAACTGTATTCTACTTGGAGTTTAGTCCCCTCCAAATGGACTATTTTATTGGAGATTCTTGTGTTTAAGATTCTTGCACTCTCTCTAACAGCGGGTCCTTTCCTTTTCCATCTTTGTTTTTCTGTTTATATTTCCATCCCCTCTAAGAGACTACTGAAAATTCCAAGTACTAAAAGCAGGTTAACTGTGGACTGGGCAACGCATTCAGATAAAACCAATGAAATCAGAATCAAACCCGTTTAGTGCGTACCTGCCAGAGCACTTATAGCTGATTGAATGGTTGTGCACGCATATATGCTTTGCTTATTCCATTAAACATAAACGTCAATCTTAATTTGAACAGACTCTAGTCTATGACAACATCAACGTCAGATATGCACTATCTAAAAAAAAAAAATGTGTACCTACCAATTCAAACAGTGATGGGTCTTCTCGAAAATATTTTAGCGCCTCTTTCCCACTGAAAAGAACGCCACGAATTTTTAACTCTTGCCATGACAACAGCATTAGGAAAAAAAATAGAAATAAAAACAGTAATATAGAGGATAGAACAGGTCACCAAAACCATTAAACTAATCATGGTAAGAACATGAAATCCAGGGGGAATTTGAGTATGCCATTGGAATAGGAAGGGACGAGAAAGGGGCAACAAATATTCTAATTCAATTCTTCTTTAAATTTACATTTACGAAGCAGAAAAGAGGGGAAATATGATACGTGTATAGTCGCAACATTCATACAACTGAGAATACCTTGAACAAAATAAACAGCTACAAGTGTCAGATGGAACCTCCTTAAGGATGATATTAAAACGAAGCAAGACAGCAGTTCAATAATAACAGAGCAAGATTACTGAGTAGGACATACGTGCATGTGTATAGCTTCTCGTTAATCATTCTGAAATGACCTCCTGACAACCTCTCTCGCATCTACATGTTCCACATAGCATTCGGATAAAACACACTTCCTTGATGAAAGGTCTGTATTTCTGTTTTTTTTTTTTTCCTTGGCCATATCATGTCAATATAAAGAATTCAACCAGAACAAAAGCTTATCATACCTTGTCGAGAAAGCTAGAGGCCTTAGAGGGTTCTTGCAACTTCATTGGCTTAGCAGAATCGACATCGTGTTCAACGGGAGTAATATCAAGCCCCTTACTCTTCGCCTCGTTTTGATGAGTTAGTTTCCCATTCTTCTTCGTTCTCTTTCGCTTTTTGCTTTGCTCGTCCTTTGCCATAGCTTGGCTTTTGCAATTCTCCGCAACTGTTCTTCCTTCTTCGAAGCGGAGGGCTGAGTTCAATAGAAGAGCAACTTGGCACTCTTCGAAACAGGGCTAGGTTTTTTTAATTCCGCCGGCAGATGCAGGACAGACAACAACTGTATTCAAGTTATTTCATTATATTTTAGATCTGCTTAAGACTTATCTATTTTTGTATATACTCTCGCCTTTTAAAAATATAAAATATTTTAATTAAATTTTATTTTTTAATAAAATAATCATTTATTTTTTAACTATTTCTATTTTTTTATATTTATTACTATTAAATATCCTACAATAAATATAAAGTTACTATCAATAGAAATACTTTAAAAAAAAAGACAGCGATTACACCTCAAAAGATTAAAAATATCTCATATTTTTTCACATTCAATTTATCAAAAAATACTTTAATTTTTAAACGGAGGAGGTATTTAATATCATTATATTCAATTAAATTATGATAAGTAAATCTTAATCTTAATATATATAACAAAGGCATTAAGTATATAAATTTAAATATATAAGTTTTTATCATGATCATTTTATTTTAAATATTAGTTTCTTATATTATAGAATATTTTAAAATAAAACAAAAATCTACAAATCAATTTAGAAACATTGACTGACTGCAATGGTGTTTGAGTCATTTCATTTTTCTAAGTATTTTCTTTTTCTTTCTTTCTTTTTTTTCCAGAAGGAAACAGAGATACAGGTAATAAGTTATTTCAATCTAACACTATAAAATATATAGTTTAATACTTTTATCTTTAAAATATACAGGATGCGGTACAAATATGATAGTGTATATTTATAAAAGATTCATGAAAGATATATTATGTGAGATTTTAAATCTAATGATCATTTTATTTTAAATATTAATTTCCTATATTATAGCTTGAAATCTATAAATAAAATAAAAATCTATAAACCAATTTACAAACTAAAATGAAAATACTTGAGAGTAAATAGTAAAATGTATTAGTAGAGAGATACTTTCTTCGTTAAAAAATATAAGATATTTTTAGTTTTTTAAAATATAATCATTATCTTTTTTTTAAGTGTCCCTATTGATGAATGGCTTTATATTTATTATAGTGTGTTTAATAAAAGTAAATATAAAAAGATAGAATTAGTTTGAAAATAGGCAATAGAATTAATTTGAAAGTAGATAACTACTTTATTAGGGGGTGAAATTCGATTATAAATGCCTTTCATTCTTTAATGGAGAGAGTAGAATATTTGTTTTTAGAAATATATGAAACTGTGCTGTGAGGAATTTTAATCTTACAAAAATCACAACAAAAAATATTAGGAATAAAAAAAATTAAGGGTTAAATGGCAATTTGGCCTCTGAATTACAAGCATGGGAATATTTGAAACCTTAAACTCATTTTTGATGCAATGTTTTTCTTTAATTTTTGAAAATGATACAATGCCACCACTGTTGTTAATAAAAATTAATTTTAGCCATTAGTTGATTAAAAAAATAATATAAATGAACCTAAAACATTACAAGAATGGATTGGGAAAATTTTATTAATCCTTTGTTGTAAATTGTTTTGGTCATATTAAAAATAATCATATTCAAAACATGATCTAATATTAAATGTGACTAACTCTCTCGACAAGAATTTAAATTTTAATTCATCACGTTATAATAAATTAACCTCTTACATTAGATGTAAACCCAATGATGCAATTTAACCTTTAAGAAAAAAAAAAAAAAGCGGACAAAAGGGGATTTGCTGAATGTGACTAGGGAGCCTTTGGAATGTGCACTTGGGTGTTAGGGTGTCAATGGGGAAGTTAAAACGTGCACCTACTTTTCATATTTCCATGCTACTCGTAATTATTTTTCAATTAATTTTTAATATTATTGTATAGTCACCATTTGTATAAATTTTTTCTAATATATTAAATATGTATTTTTTTTATCCTTACTATTTAACATATAAGTTTTGTGTTATTTTAAATTATTTATTACGCACATTTTTAAACATTTCTAACATAAAGCATTTATATAAGAAAAATTGTAAATCATAAAAATTAATATCCATTTTAATAACTGTACATTCAAAATCACTTTTTATTATAAATAATTTAGACAGCTTTGAATTTATTAAACTAATTTTTTAAAATTATATATCCAAACTTAAATTTTCTTATAATAATAAATTTTTATGAAATTTATTTTTGTTAAATAATCATTTTACAAACTTGACCTTGACCAACGAAAAAACCAAATGCGGTGTCAATGCTTCAAAGTATTTCAAATTATTCGGATAGATATGTCCAATAGACCAATATGATAATTATTGGGCTACACACATCGGTCCATTAATGATATTCGTGGGCAGATAAAACGGGCTTCACTTATGTTTATGCGGTGTTCCGAAAGATGTCATTATTATCCGTAAAAACTAACAAATTCCTTAAAAAAAACTCATAAGCGATAAATTCCGTGCTATGCACACGATCTATACTAGTTATTTATCATAATATTATCAAAGAAAGAATCCCTTATTTTCCCATTGTAAGTTAGAAAAGTACCATCAACAAAATCAAATTTATTCGTTGCCTATTAATATAAGCCAGAAAAGTAAAAACTAACTATATAACAAAGATTAATTCTTTGCATGTTAATGCATTAAACTAATTAATGGCGCAAGCTTACACAAACAGCTATTATCAGCGCAAATGTAAGTTCTTAAGCCCCAAAAACGTAGATAATGGATGTCAACAAGAACGCCCCCAGTTTGAAGCATGCATCAAGAGTGGCAGGGAAAAGAATAACTCCAGGGGTATTTATTAACTTCGCCTTCGATGCCATGGGAATGGTCACATAGTTGATTTTTTATATTTATAGCACTTTTCTTTTTATTATTATTAATTCCTATTGATAACTTCTATTTATTCTATGAAGATACATCTTTGGTTAGATTGGTTCCGATTGATTTGGTCTGTATTCAGCTATATTACAGAAGTTGAGCAAAGCAGCCAGGCTCTGACCATGGGAGCAACAAACATGTACCTGAGAAACAAGAGATTAATATAGCGTTTTCCATCACAAAGATGTTCAAGCAAAGCATCTATGTGCGAATGGGGAGGCAATATCACTAGAGGAGGAGAGAAAGCGCACATACATTCCTGTTGTAGGCTCTACATCAGTAAGTATATCTGCTGCAAAAATTGACGTTGTTACTGTACTATATTGACGTCACTTACAGGCCACGCCAATTCTACTCTAGCACAAAAGAAAACGATGTCAAATACTAGGTTGTATTAGGGAGAAAAAGTAACCGAACCAAAAGTCGTCATCAAATATCACCGAGCAGTTCCATGGGTGCTACCGAGGACAAATTCGGCATAAAGCCTTTTTAAAGCGATCATAACTGTCATCAGCAGAGGACCCATTATTGCTCCCTGTATGCACAATGAGATTTATCACTCGGATTGGATTGAAAATTTACAGAAACATAATGCATTTAAGAGCAAGAAGTAAGAGAGCAGAGTTACTTCCAAAGCAGAGGGGAAAACAGCAATGCCACCAAGTATGCTCAGCCCTGTCAAATAGGCATTATGGCCAGGTATCTCATCTTGGATAGCTTGTGTACCATATTCCAACAGTATCTGATGTATGGTTGTTAATATTATCGCTTCGACGTACCTTTTCTCCATGGCTAGCTGTGCAGCTGCTGGTATTGTTGCAAGAAAAGGAGCTGGCGTGATGGGTTAAATAGCACTCATGAGTGCAAGAGATGTTGACGTATACAGAAAATGAATGTGGTAGAATCTAAACAATAGGTATGTTAAACACCCCTGAAACAAGGTCAGCTTGGCAGTGGCTAATAACACGCTACTCACTGCATGATCAAGAACCTTAGCACTCCGAACCCGGGTCGATTTTGATATTGGCACCATGTCTAAAGCATGGTCCATCACTCCCCCAGAATCTGAAGTCATCAAATAGTACAACAGCCATAAAAACACCATCATTTCAGATATGAAATTCACCAACCCTGCAGCTCCCGAGACTAAAGAGACAGCCATGTACAGCAATATATTGGCACCACAAGTCAACAATCTTTTTGACACATCCAAACTCTCTAGTAAAAATGCTTTAAGCTCCCCCATCAAGCCTTCCCTGGCAATTAAAGATGCCAATACCCTAAATAACCCATCAATGTCGCTGTAGATCTTCTTCCACTGTCCATTTCTTACCCTTGACTGAATACAAGAAAGCTTCTGAGACACTGGTCTAACGCTAGCTTGGGTAAGAACACTAGTTCTAAGAGAACCTTGCGAATGACTAATTAAGTAATTCCTCACGCCATGCACAATTTCCGTTACGTTATAATTGGCGGCCAATGAATCAATGTTCTGTAGCAAAGTTTCAGAGACTTTGGTGGCATAAGTATCAATCAATTCCGGTATATGGTTCTCGTCCATCCATTTCTTAACACCAATTCTTTCTGCATAATCGTTCTCATGCAGATGCACCTTAAACGAAATCACAGCGTCTTTCCCCTCCAGTGCAATTTTATAAGAAAAGAAAACAAGACCTAAAACAGAACCCACGATCATGAACATTATTAATCCAATCCCAACCATCGTTTTCAACCTATTAAGCATGATCGAAGTAAGGCAACTGCTAATTTTAAAACCGAACGAACTATGATCACTCCGAAACTTTATTCGTGAAATGGAAGTTAACTCTCTCATCTTGACCTTGCCAAAACCAGACGCATAGGCGATGGAGCAAGGGATTACGAAGGCGGGAACAGAGAAAGAACCTATTTTTTCGTAAAAAACAATAAAAATCCCAAAAGAGATAAGCCATTGCATGAGCTTGGAGAATTCGAATTTGCTCTGGAGCAAGGGTGAAGGATAGCGGAGGAGGCGAAGAAGGGCGGCATGAGAATCGATTAGAGAGGAGCAGGTGACGCTGAGGGCGGACAATGGGATGGCGAGTATAGCGTGGAGGAGGCCGAGATTGAGAGAATGAGACCAGAAGGAGACGAGGGCAGTGTGAAGCTCGTGGAGAGGGATGGAGCAGAGGATGGCCCAAAGAAGGTGGGGCCAATAGTTCTGGAGAAGCTTGGCAACGCCGTATAGGACGACAAGGGACAAGGCGAGGCCGGCATGAGCCATGGCTACGGACATTGCGATGCGGATTTGAGGGTCGGCATGCAGCGGCAATTTTCTCTTACGGCGACGTCGATTTCTGCGAGGACTGGTCTGAGTGGGCTCCTCGACAATCGGATCTGGGGCTGTTTCTAGCAAAGGAGTAAGCTCTTGCTGTACGGGCTTGTTAGGGTTTCGGGGTGAACCGAAGAGTTTAGATGACCGGTGTAAATGTTTCCGAGGAGCACCGGTGTTATCAGACATTTTGCCGATGAAAATGGCGGCGGCGGCGAATCAGCCATGCTTGAAGCTTTTGGGCTAGCACCACGTGATTTATGCATGTGTGATTTGCATGTGAGGGAGGATGCTGCTTTGTTTCGTCCGTTAATAGAATCGCTTTTCTCTGATCTCAGCTGTCGGATTCGTTAAGGAGATCGATCAACCGCTCTCGTCAGGGGAAGGGCTCAGTGTGCTCTTGGGGAACGGGCCCCAACTTCAATTATTTGCTCCGAGTTTTTTTATTTTTTTTAAAATCATGAACAGCATCCAGTTTGTCCGCCGTGAAAAAAAAAAAAAAATCTGTGAGTGTCTTGCAGTTTAAGAGCACTGGAGTAAACCAAAAGGACAGGGAGTAACTGGAACTGGTAAGTAACTGTAAAAGTGATCCACAATTAGTAATTAGTCCTAAAGCTGAACGGCTCATAATAAACTTATATTAAATATAGGCTCAATATCATAATTTTTGGCAGGGAGACCATTGAAAACGGCTCACGGCTCATGGTGAGAAAGTGAACCTTGTAAAAAGATCAATATAAAATAAAAATTTTTAAGTTGTAAATATCAAAATTTGAGTGGTAAATTTTGACGTTTTAATTATAAATACATAGATCCTCATTTTACATTAATTTCTTAAAATATTTAATTTTTATTCTCCTTTTTAACTATTTATTTACTCTTAGACTTTTAAGCATAATCATTGCATTTTTTTAAAGTACTCCTATTAAATAAATCACTTTATATTTATTTTAAGATTAAATGTATATTAAATAGGAGTAAATATAAAAATATTAAGTTAATTTAAAAATAAATAACCACTTTATTAAGAATAAAATTTAATTAAAAATATTTTATATTTTTTAATGGAAGAGTAAATATTATGCCATTTTTGTGCATTTTGTTTAAATAAATAAAAACCTTGAATAATTCTTAGTTAAATCATTTTGATATCTCATGCAATTGTTATCCTTATGTTACTTTTTGATTTCTTGAACTTTCCTATTTCGTTCCCTAAATAATCAATTACAATAATAATTCATCGTATCAATGTAATCCAATTAAAATAAATGCCTATTTATTACAATTTTGATTAAATTATAAATCATCTCAAAAAAAGTTTTTTTATAAAAGATTTCAGAGTTGAAGTCTATTTGTACTCTTGAACTATACCCTTAGAAGTATATAGTTTTTTATATTTTACTTTGATTTTTTTTTTCCTAGAACTATCAAAAATCATCATTCTTAGCCCTGCCGTTGATCGGAGTTAAGTTTGATTGTTAAATATTTTTTTGACACCTCATCACGTGGCAGTGCAACCCCCCAACTCACTTGCTTTCCTTCCTTCTACTATTAGCCTTCATCAACGGGACTCACCCTCCTTGATCTCAATGGCAACATTCCCTGCCTCATATCATATCCCAAAAATTGATTCATCTCCTCTGCTTTAGTCAATCAAAATCACCCCCAAGACATTGAAAACTCAAGAAAAAAAATTAAACACTCAAGCAGCGAAAATCCACGCCCAATCAATCCAAGCACCACAAAAACGAAACCAACCACCCCAATTTGAAGTGAAGCCATGGTAGCTTGTATTCAAGCGCTAGAACACAAGCCTGATCTCTCCATCATTGCAGATGCTCTAGGCAATCCTGTGATGGACCTTTCTCCAGTCCATTAACACTTCCAACATGATCCCGTTTTAAACTCGCCTACCATTGAAGGTCGTAAGTGATATAGACAGAGCATGCAAGGAGTGGGGGTTCTTTTTAGCTAAACATTAATCACCAATCACGGGGTTCCTCTACATGTCAGACACAAAATCAAGGACATTTGAAGAAAGATTTTTCTTACAACTCAAAAAGCACGCCAGAAATGTCAGAGATTGGAGGGAGAGGCTTGATTTTCTTGCCAAAGAACTAGCCTCTTTGCTGGCTTGTTTAGCAGTATCAACACCCATGCTTGTGAAGAATAGATCTGCACACATCTCGTCAGGCTAATGAATTTTTTTTTAAGAAAAAAAAGCAAGGAAAAAACCTAGAACCTTCTACATTTGAGAATGTTGGACCTCCCATGGGCTTGGCCGGTGCAGAGCGTGATTGGATCTAATTGCATTGGCTTGAGGGAGATTGGGTAGATAAACATCAAAGGAGCTTCAGACAAGTCAAGCTCTTGAATCATCTTCCCCAGATCCAATTTCTCACCGGCCTTGGCCCGTCAATCCTGCCTCAACACCACCTAAAACCCCATCCTTGATGACAGTATCTAGATATGGGATCTGGTTATCACCACCACTATTGAAAGCTAGCAAACACATCTTGTTTAGAAGGCTAGTACTTTGGCATTTTGGAAACCCTTCAGGAGAGGGGGTGAGATGAATCTGATGATGAGATGGAGTCCCACATGGTTGCAACTCATTCGCTCACTTAAAGACCATTGAGATGAATTTAATTATAGGATATTAGTTTATTTGTTTTTGAAATTTTAAGGAATCAATTGAACTAAAATAAAACATAGGATACCAGGTGCTTTCGAGACATAGTGCATAGAAAAAAAATGAACTTCAACCTATAATTTAGTTTATTTTTTGGTAAATCATAGAATTCTAATTAATTGAAAGATATATGTTGGACCCACGAATGAGTCAAATCGTTTAAAAACCAATATCTATCATATAAAACCAGTTAAACATTTGCAGACAAAAAATAGCTCTTTTTAAAAAACATTTCTTACATGGTTAGAACAGCAAAAACCCATCCAATAACTTGACCTTCATAAATCATAATCACCGCTATACTAATTCAAGAATAATTCAGTCATGATAAAAAAAAACAATATAAAATGATATATAGTGAATTATTCAACGCTATCAGGTGCCTTATAATTGAAACAGACTAGTCAAAGCATCAAAAGCACTTCGCACTGTACGTGTAATTTGTTGAGGGTTTCTCCTTCACTTGTACTCCAATTATAATGATTGTGTCGTCAAAACTGGGCAGCTCCAGCACACAAATCAGATAAGGTAAATAGGATAGAACTATGCATATATTGTGCTTATAGGGTCGAACTATCAAGCAGAGTCACTCCAATATTTTTTCAATGCTTTAACCCGCAAGCTCGTTTATCTCAATTTACAAATGTTTTTAAGCCTGGCCTGATTGTTATTGACTGGGTTCAGAATTGGGCCTGCAAGCCCACATAATTTTGTTTTATTTTTAAAAAATAAATTTTTAATTATGGACATACAGGCTCTCACTTAAATGTCTGGAGGACAATAATATAAGTTTCAAAGTATAACCATAATAATACATTTCTCAAAATAAAATGTATGATTTTTTAATTAATATTTTAATTATATTAATACATGATTTAAAATTATGTCATTCTTATATATTAATTTAAAATTTTAAATAAACTAGATGATTTTAATCATGTCATTTTGCAATATTAACAATTTCAATGAAAATATTTTCAATTATTTCAACCTCTGTTGACTGGGAGGAGAAGGGGGGGGGAAACAATACCTAAAAGAATTAAAACCTGAGCTCCTTTTTTAAAAACTTATAAAAATCTGGCCTAAAAGCATTTTTATACAAAAGTCTCTCGTTTAAAAAAATAAAAGAATAGGTAAGTCAAAGGGATTGACTCTGATTCACGGTTCTATGATTCTATCACACGATCCCACTACTTAACATGTTTAATTTCACACGTACACGTTTGATAATCAGACTTCGCACCCTATAATTAAGATTTCAATATATACGTCTTCTGACAGGGATACGAAAGGTATTTATGGAGCGTGCGTGCATTTTAAATGAATGTTTGTATGTCTGAATAGGTGGTGCTGTCGTGTTGACGTTGTACTGATAAATAATTATAATCATAATGGCTTAAAGGAGCAAGATAAATGAGTGATAAAAAAAATACCACGTTCTAAGCAGACAAAAAATTAATTTGAAGCAAGAGAAAAGTGGATGAGATCAGAGCCACATATCAGGTTCTAACAGAGACTCAAATAATTACATGAGGACCTCATACCTAAAGATAACTTCGTAAGCTCTAAGATTCCTTTCACCAATATTTTCAGACAGGCAATGCTGGCCATTGACACACAGGATTTCACTGCCGAGTCATTTTTATTGGACAATGATCATTTATTTGTTAATTGATTTGATCACTTAATTTTCAAGCTGTGTAGTTTCTGTCAATTTTAACATTGCCTGCATATGTAATACTTGAAGTGGACCAATGATTTCTTTTTGGGAGAATTACAACTAGGTCCACATAGAGAAATTAATTACTGTTAATCTATTGATAATTGTATTAAACTGTATCAACGACTGATCGTATTGTTAATATAATTTAATTTAATTATTAATGAACTTTATAATAATTAATTTTTTTATATAGAATTTTAATGTAATTTTTTTTTCTTTTTTTTTTTTGCCTGTTGGTGTTCATTTCTTTTCAAGATGATTTCTTAATACTTTCTTTGCATTTTAAAACTGGGATCAGAATGACAATATATACATATATGAAATAATTCTTTGCAGATAATATTACAAGTAAATATCAAAAAATAATTGTTTGGATTGAATTAAATGACCCAGTGTGTGATCTTTTTTCAATGCGTTTTGGGTACATGTTAATTACGAGTTGAGATTATTGTTACTCCATAATATGACAATGCAATGGCACATGGAAGCCATGATGATCTATTACTATTTTATTTGTTTTATACTTTTATTTTAATGTTCATGTTCGTTGTATTTGGCATGCTTTTCATTCGAACAAGAGTCTCAGTCTCATAATGCTCAAATATTAATTAATCCAAATACAAACAATACGGTTATTTCAAGGGAGATTTCCAAAAAGGACTTGTATGGACGAATAATTGATGTAAGAGACCATAAAAATTATAATTATTTCGAAGCACGCCCCACATCAAACATATAGTAATAGATTTTAAATTAACATGCTTAACTGTGAATTCATCTTAATAAATCCGACTAGTGTGAACGCCAGGCCCCTCATTAAAAGCACAAATATCAAAAAGTTGAATTGAATAAATACCTACTGCTACTACTACTAATTATACATTATTTAATATTTAATTAAATTATATTCTTCTGTGGCTAATTTCTTTATTTTCTATTGGTAGTTGCCTATATCAGAAATTTCATTTCATTCCGAGATTTGGCGCCACTATCAAGGGTCAAAAAGGATATCTGAGCAAAAATAATTAATGCGATGATTGTGAATTTGTGATCAACAAGAATGAATTAATCATAATATATTTTTCTGTCCCAAAAGTCCTACTTGTAAACCTTATAGCCCCATCAAAATATTGAAAATCCCAACAGAATCAGTAATAAAAATATATATAAATAAACCTACCATAAACTAAGACACAAAATCCGTAGAACATTCTTGCAAAACGTTTAATCGAGCAAAAAGCGGGCGGCGTTTGCTTCTATATAAGGAAAGTTAAAGCTTTATACTTAGGGGATTGCTATTATATTTCCCAGAAACCAAAATTCATCAAAGAGAGAAAAGCTGACCCAAAAGAATACAAGTTGCTTGTATCTGAAACAACGGATTTTGAAAAAAGCTTAACGTTACCTCTTGAAGCAACCAATCCCATTGCTACAATTACCACTCTCTAAGCAACAAAATTCCACACCTCACACACACAGTGAACAAAGCAAAAGGAAGCACAGAGATCATTGCCCTGCGCTTCAATGGAGAAACAGGTCGTGGAAAACCTATGGCAGGGTGAGAGAGAGGCTCAGATTCAAGCAGCAATGGAGCTCACTAGATTAAGCAACAAGCAGAGACACAAGTTAGCAGAAAATGGAATAATGGTGCCTCTGATTTCCATGCTTCATTCTCAAGACCACGAAGCCATTGAAGCTTCTCTCTGTGCTCTGCTCTGTCTCGCCTTTGGCAGTGAACGGTAAGTTCAGTTCAGTTCATCCACTATCTGTTTTTTGTTGTTCAAGTTTGGAACTTGGTTTTATCTCTAGTTCAGTTTTGCGATTGCTTGTCACGCCCAAAAGGTTGTAAAATTGAACAGAACAATCTGGTCATGGAAAATTTTGCAGGAAATTTTACAGACCCAGACCTTGTATGGTAGGAGTATTAAAAAAGTTTTGAACTTTCAAGTATTCCATGATGAACTGATCGTTTTTTGTTGGTGGGACTGAAGAATATGTTCTTGGTAATGATGCTAGGCATTGTTAATAGTAGATTCTACCATCCACTCATCATGATCCTTTACTAAAAAGTAAAGCAACAAACACGAGAGAATATGTTAATTTCTTCAATCCTACGACTACATCCAAATGCTTTTCTTATTGGATTGGCCAAACATCTAAACAACTTTTCCCCCTTACAGGAACAAGATTCGGATTGTCAAGTGTGGAGCTTTACCAGTGTTGCTGAATCTCCTGCAATGCCAGAGCCAACCACTCGTAGAATTAACAATAGCCGCGATGCTAACTCTCTCTTCTTGCAAATCAAATAAGCTAGCTATAGCTTCATCCGGGGCTATCCAATTACTAGTACAGATTCTGAATGGCCATTATGAAAATTGCACAAACACTCAATCCCAGCTTGACGCCATAGCCACACTCCATAACCTCTCAACCTGTCAAGAGATAACACCACTGCTAGTCTCTTCAGGTATAACAATGTCCTTACTTGAACTGATTCACAACTCAGGAAAATCAAGTGAGAAGGTTGAGAAAGCAATCGGGTTGCTGGAAAACATTGTGTACTCATCAGAGAGAGCACTGAACGAGACTTCTAGCATAGGAGGGGCGATCAGGATAGTGGTTGAGACTATTGAGGAAGGGTCCATGATAGGGAAAGAGCATGCAGTGGGAATACTGCTTCTGATATGTAAAAGTTGCAGGGAGAAATACAGAGGAATGATACTGAGAGAGGGAGTGATGCCTGGGCTGCTTCAGTTAAGCGTGGATGGGACTCAGAGAGCTAAAGGGATGGCTCGAGAATTGTTGTTGCTTCTGAGGGATTGCTCCAATTATGGTTCAACGAGTGGGAAGAAGATGAATCATGTGATCATAGAACGGATAATGCAGGAGATTGATGAGGAAGGTGAGGAATTGGTTGGGAGTACTCTGAGATTGGTAGAGGAGATGATTGCCAAGCTTCATACATGACGTTGACGTATGCGAAGCTTCTTCGTATCGTTAGGCTATCGTGATTTTGACAGTTTGTGTGTACATAAGATTGGTTAGGTCATCTTCTGGTTCTGGTATGATTCAGATTAGATATTGGTGATGTGGATTGATTTGGTGCGCTCAACTTTTAAAACAATTGATACTGATCTCCAAACCCGACTTATGATATTCTGAGGCTGAGGTGTCTGTGGAGTCCAAATGTGAGATCAACAAATGACCAATAAGCGCCCGATGACGTAGCCTTCTTCCTTCAAGAGGAGCTAACATAAGCCTTTTCTTGATAATGTAAGAAAGGAGAAAACGAACGTTCAACTTCAAGTTATTATATTTCTTGATAAGCGATTTTAATTTTTTAAATGTCACGTCCAAATCCAACACGTAAAATCTGTTAACTTCTCTTGCATCGAGAAACCCTGTTTGATTTTTATTTAACATTTTCAAGAAACTATTTTTACAAGATAGTGAGACAATTTCATATGGATAATCAATCCATTTCCAAAATAATTATCAAACATTAGTAGGATAGAAAAATGTGTTTGAATATCTGTTTTCAAATAAAAATCCGCGTCAATCAATGGGTCCGATATTTCAAATCATGCGTCTCCCCAGAAGTTGCATGTATCTAGCTTTGTCCCTCCCCCTATAACGCAGCTTTTCAGCTATTAAAACTAAGAGCATTTGGTAGATACAAAGGGCTCAGCTTCTTTCTGCATTTTTTTTCATCTTACGGCAAATGATAATCTATATTGTTAAAAAGTATCTCATCAAATTCAATTCAACGATTCATGGCTGCAATGGTGTCTCCAACCAAGCCACTCACGGATACAAAGCTCCTGAACAAATTGGAAGTTCTTAAAAAGGATTCCCTCACAAATTTTTTCCAGTTTGAGGGGAGCAGCACCGCGGGATCTCTGCAAATGAATGCGCTCTGACGTGGAGGAAGACCATCAAGGTATGGATCTTCCGAGGAACATGCTGGAATGTTACACAGACTACGCCTCATTATTGTAATGTACAGTACCCTAAGAGAGTTTTTGGCCAGTCACGATGGAGACTGAGAAAAATGGACATGCGTCTCCTGCCTACTCGGTGTACTCCATATTTACCAGTCTCATTAATAAATTGCCCTGATTTCACTTTCGCCCCCCTGCTTTCACTAGTTAGGCGTCATTAATGAATTCATCTAATTATACTTTTGCCACCGCTATCTCAAGATATTTGAAGTAAGGTGCTTAATCAGGACAACACATTCTTATTTTGGAAACACAATTTGCTTTTAAAAACGCAAGAGGCCCTAACGATGCGTCACCTTTTTAAATTTTAGGGGATCAAGTACACCACCTCTACCCCATTTCTTTGAAATTGAGGGGGAAAAAAAACTTCCGCTTCTTGGCCAATAAATTTCGCTTCCTCCCCGAAAAACGGGGGTCGCCAATAGATATCACATCTCAGAGGCATTTAAATGCCACAGCACGAGAGCTCAGCCTCTGCTAAGACGAGAACGACGTGCCTTAAGTCATGCTCACCGGACTTGGACATATATTGGAATACATACGCGTACTCGGGAATGCCAGCCTTCACCTCAGGAATGTAAAGTAACAAATTTAGGTAATAAACTCAGAAACAATCAGCTCAAGCTTAATCACCACAAAAAAATGCTGTGCTCCTTTCAACACTAAAAGTGTTGGTATACTTCTACAATGCTTTCAACCAACCAGCATAAGATTATATAAAGAAATGGTTCTCATGATTATTTCCTCATTCACCGTACATCTCTAGTCTCTACAAAAGAATGGGGGTTACAAACCCCCCAAGAAGCCTAACACGTATGATTTAGAGCGTATTTTAGCCTGACTTTCTATAAATTTTGTAGGCCACTGTAGCTGCTGCAAGAATTCCAAAGACACCAACAGCAATACGGACATTATGCTCCTCAAACAAGGGCCAGTTCCAACTTGATTTGTCACCCTGCTTCTTATGCGCTTCAGTGGTTCCTTGAATCCCTTTGTTTTTCTCAAAACTGGCAGTCATGCAACAGGAAACCCCATTAGCACCCTGGCAACAACCACCCACATTTTCCTTCTTGCCCTTGTCAGTATGCTCTCCATTAGGAACTTTCAGGTCATCTGTTCCCTTAACTTCCTCAACAGATGGTCCCATTTGACCCCTGCAAAAATTTGCATGTAAACAATTCAATAGGCTGTCATGAGGGGCTACAAGCAACAATAAATGCTATAGTTGGATATTCATGACTTGGATCTGAAGATCAAATGGCGATGACCTTGATCATGTAGTCAAATATCAAAAGATAATGTTCAGACTAGTTTCCCCCCTTTGTTTTCAAATATCTAAACAACTAATAACCTAAATAATACTAAAGTAGACGACCACCTTGCCCAATTACTCAAAGTTATCAGGATAGGTTTTCCAGTTTTCCATATGTTTAAAATACTTAGCCTGATGGTTAAGAGTTTTTGGCTTGGCTTAGGACTGTATGGTATAAAATAAACCTAGCACATACAAGGTGCTTGAGGTTAGCTTCTTGCATCAACCAAGTAAGCATCAAAAGCACTGGCAGGCTGGCACCTGGAAGAAAATCTCCTGGCTCAACCAGCAATAGGCATTAAAGCCTTGTGTTGCTCACATCAGTACCTTTTAGTACACTACACCATATACTATTTAACAAAACTAGAAGTCTTTCAAATCTCCCAAAAACATTATACCAACATTTTGTCTTTACAGGCAAGTATATAATTCAAATTAACACTTCATTACATGATACAAGATGCACAGTTACAAAGGCACCAACCTCCAAAGGTGTTGTATGACTTCTCCTTTCGCAATATGCTGATCCAGAAATTCAGGCACATCATTAGGAGTAACATAACCGTACCTGAAATCAATTATCAAGAGCTACAATTAAAATATCAATATTTAATCTCCTCCACATCAGAGGTAATTAAATCTGAGCTTACCAGTGACCCATAGTTTTTCCATCTGGTCCTGGACTGTATATGATTACATTGCCAGCATACTTATGACCACCTACATGAGAGCAGGCCCAAACAAATACCTGATCCTTTAAACCTCGAAGCTCAATTTCTTCATTAAACTTCTCAATGAGAACTGGTCCACAAACACCACATCTAACATCACGACTCGCATGAGCGCAAACAAACACATAAGAACCAACAATCTCATTCCGTACTCCAGCAGACCAAGGTTTACCATTCACCATAACGTCTTCAACAAAGCTATCAATGTTTGACTCCGTCAAACCTCTTCAATCCAAAAAAGAGAAGACCTCGTAAATAACAGAGCACTATCAATATAAGACAAAATTCCTTAACTTCTTAAATTCCTGCAAGAATTTAAGAAAACAGACATGCATTTGAGGCTTTAAAGAAAACCTACTTCAAGTGACTCCAAAATTCTAATTGTACTCAGATAAATAACATCACCAAAAAATTGTAGAAGAGCATAATTGACACACATACTCATGATCTTTAGGATGTTATACTATCAAGAAAAACCATGAACCTTCGAAAATTCAATACAGAAAATTGTAAGATATTCACATACTCTGATGGTCAGATCGGATGGTTCAACTTTAACAAGCTAAATTTCACACATGAAAAACACATTCGACGAGCAATAAATCCATACACCAATCAGTTCCAGCTTTAGTTCAACAAATACAACTGAAGGCTTAACGCTGAAAGAAAGTGACTAATCAATGACAACTTCCGCAAAAGCTACCACAAGTAGCACTAAGATCGTAACATATTCAGAGGATTTACCTGTATTTGATCATTTCCGGGAAAATTAACACGTCGCCGTCCAGGAAGCCAGCCTCCTCTCCTGCCTCGCATATTGTAATTTTAGTCTGCCGAAGAAAATCAAGCCACCAAGTCAACGTATGAGTCGACTTTCATCATCCAAAGGTAGCTCAACTACCGAGCAAAACAACTACCAAGTAACCTAATGACCAGATCAGCAAGAAAAAGAAACCCCAAACCTTTATGGTGATATCACTCTTGCGGGATTTAACAGTTGTTGCCAGAAGCTTCGGAAGCGGATCCGAGTCAGAGGCCTCAACGCGCGGAGGCCAAACCTCGTGGTTCTTGTAGCAGACGAACACGTGACGGTCATATGCGTCGACGGTGCCGGCGAGATTTTCCTTGTACATCTCCGGCCTGCTGAATCCGTGCTTGGAGTCATCGGCAGCGGCCGTGGAGTTCTCGGAAGCCATGGAGAAAACTGGAGATAGGGTTTGTGCGCGGAAGGAAGGCAGATAATGAGAAATTGATAGAGGAATGAGGAATTTAGTCGGTAATATTGATGCGTTAGAGGAAGGAAGCCGAAAGGCTGATGTAAGAAAACGTCCAAGGTGCGCAGTGCGCATCGATTGGTTTAACACGGACGAGGGAGCTTCAGGGAATTTAAGCGCGATGGCTGCGATGCACGCGCTGGTGATGCGTTTGGTCGCTAACTGTCCCTTTCTTGGAGGAGAGAGAATTAATTTCATTTGATGATTGATAGCTTCACTAATTTAATTCATCCCTCCTCTTTGGGCAACATTCAATTCATCCCTCATAAAGTGATTTATTTATTCATCACGTTGAAAATCATCATTTTGACTACAGTAATACAATATAAAATATTTTTAGAAACATATAAAATTTAAAATACTGAATAACTTTTATAATTAAATTTTTAATTATATATCTATTTTTATTTTTTTATCTATTAAAATTTCAATTGTTATTATCAAAGTAGTTGTGTAGGATATTTAATGAGGATATAATTAAAAATATATAATTTTTAAAAAAAATTTAAGATTCAACTAACATTTTTTAGAATTTTGATTTGATCATTAATACATTATATTATAATTGGGGGGAAGTACGTAATATGGAGAGACAACATTTTCATTGTTTTGTTTGAACATTGATCAAAAGAAAGACTGAATCAAGATAAGTCTCAAATTTTTTTCTCAACTAATACTAATCATGCCAAGATTGCCCAACCCTCTGGCTTGTTGGGCTTTTCTAGCATAGCAGACTTAGAAAAATACTTAAAAGTGTCAATGCACCATAAGTGAGTAACCAAGGATACTTATGCGTGTATGGTGGATAAGGTTAAAAGTAGGCTGAATAATTGGAAGATGAATAGCCTTTCTCTTGCTGTGAGGAACACACTAGTAACTTCTGTATTAACTGTTATACCACAATATCCCATGCAAACAACTATGTTACCTTCAGTAGTATGTGAGGAATTGGAAAAACATTATAGATCATTTCTTTGGGGCTCGATGCTAGATCACAGGAAGGTTCATTTAGTGGATTGGGAGAACGTGTGTCATAACAAGGATCAAGGTAGACATGGAATCAAAAAGCTAAATGTATAGAATCAAGCTTTCTTGATGAAAAAAGCGTAGGATCTCATACATAAGCAAGACTTACTTTGGGAAAATATTGTCCACTCTAAATATAAATGTGGTAAGGATTTATTACCTATAATCAAGAGAGACAGATCTAGGTTGCATTTTTGAAGTGGAATCAATTAGACTTGAGATCTGTTTGAGATTGGATTACAGCATGCCTAGCTCTCAAATGGGCCAGATACATTTAGATGGAAGTATGAGAAGAACGAATCCTTCTCTATTAAGTCAGCTTATGCCTTGTGTAGGGAAGACGATACACCTTCTTCATCCTTAAGTAAACAATTATGGAAGCTTAAGGTTCCTTAAAGGTGTAGGACTTTTTTGTGGCTTGCTACACAAGAGCAATTACTTACCAACAATCTGCAAAAGAGGTGAGATATGTGTAACAACTCAACTTGTTTCGAATGTGGGGATGATAATCAAGATGTTATTCATGTTCTTCAAGACTACTCGATCTTTACAGAGATCTAGATTTGAATTGTTCAACCAGAACTTTCTAGAGCAATTTTGTGAGCTCCATTCTAAGGCTTGGTTTAAATGGAACCCGAGTATGAGTGCCAAAAGAAATGACAATGACTAAACCGCGTGGTTTTTGGTGGTTTGTTGGCCTGTGTGGAGAATGCGTGATGAATTTGTTTTTCAAAATAAAGATACGAATAGTGTTAATCGGGTAGCGTATGCTATAGGCATTCTTATATGTATGAAAGATGGGCAATCTAAACTTGGTACATCTAACTTAAATCGAAAAGGGCTAATACAAAGGTTGGATGAGACGATAAATGTCCCTTCTACTGTCAATATTTATGTAGATATGGCTTGCTCTCTTTCTACTAGATCTACAGGATGTGGAGGAATACTTAAAGGCTGGAATGATGAATTAGAAGGTGGATTCTTGTTCAAGCTTATGGAAGAAGATGCTTTGTTAGCTTAGATTTGGGCATGGATTATGGGTTTGAAATGTGCTTGGGATAAGGGCTTTCGAGAAGGATTTCTGCATAGTGATTACTGAGAGGTAGTTAACTTGCTGCTTGGTGGGAATATTGATCTTCATAAGTACTATGCTGAAATTAAGGAGGCAAGTGGATGTTACAATGTGAATGGCAAATTAGTGTCCAACTAATCTCTAAAGATAGGAACTCAAAAGCTGATCTTTATGGAAAAAAGGCATTAGACGCTGCTCCTGGTTTCCATTATTTTCAACCTAAAGACCTCCAAGGAGTCATTTTATTATAACCCCTTAGGCTATTGTTTTGTTTTGTTCCTTTTGTTCTTTTCTATTTTTCTTCTTTTTTCCGTTTTCGTTGTTAAAAGAAAGAAAGAAAGAAAGAAAAACATCAGTATTAGGTCTAATTTTGAAAACTTATAGCATTGCATTTTTTCTTTCTTTCTTTCTTTGTTTCTCCAATGAGTAATGATTTCAGTCTATTTTTTTTTAACAAGTGCAAGAAACTTTATTCAAAGGAAAAAAAACTCAAATGTAGACAACCTAAAAAAGAGGACTAAAAAGCAAAAACTAAACCTACAAACTACCTAATAGGGACTATCTATTTAATGGCAAATCAAGAAAGTTCAATTCATTAAGCATAGAATGATATGACTTAACAATATAGTCAGCCATTCTATTATCTTCCCTATTTAAAAAATTAAAATTTATAGTCTAATTTCTACACAAAAGTCTTCTAATAGAGCTAATGATATATTAAAAATGTTGATAACTACGGTTGCCCTTTATGACCATCAACATCGCATTCACACAGTCACAAAAAACATCTACAGTCTTAAAGCCTTTCAACCAGCATAGCTCCAAGCTTTTATAAATGTCAAAGATTTTAGAAATAGTAATTGATACATGCTCAAGTCTTTAGTTAAAGCCCAATATCGAAGATTCATTGGTATCTTTGATGACACCTCCACATGCTCTATGCCCATCCATAAGTGTAGACCTATCTACTTCTAAACTTACTACATCTCGAGGCCTTTCTTGCACAGAATGTGGCATTGGCTTGATATTATAAGAATGTAGTTTACCTGAAAGTTTGTAATCTACTGCAACCTTATAGATAAAATTATGAGGCTCCTCAAGGATTTCCCTCTCACAATCATTAAAAAGTATAGAGCATCTACTTCTCCATATATTCTAGCAAGTACAAGCAAATATTACATCCCATGGAACAATCTTAGTTTTAAACTTTCCTACCTGTGCCAACATATTCCAATTTATCCAATTCTTATGTGGCAATTTGAAAAACTTTTCCTCTAAGCCTGTGCGAACATAATATCTCCACCATCGCTTAGCATGCCAGGAATCACAAAATAGGTGCATTGTATCTTCCACTTAATTGCATCCAAACAGGCACGGTTTGTTGACATGTAGTCCTCTTCTCATTCAAAGGTTTGATGAGTGGACTTTGTCATGCGCTATTTGTCAGAAGAGCATTTTAACCTTCTCTAGTATCCTCCATCACTAAATATGAAAGCGTAATAAATAATACAAACGGTTTATTTGAGCCTACATGAAAGGATAGGCAAAAATTTGCCCAAGAATAAAGAAAGGTGAGAAAAAAAAATACTTTTTTAAGAAAATGATGGAATTATATGATTTTTCTTCAATTTAAAAATACATGTGAATCTTCTCACAAAAAATATTTAAAATGACCAAAGTCTTCTCCTTGATATAATCACTGCTGGTAGTTGGGAGATGATATTCAATGAATATGTTATTAATAGTATTTTCCTTTTTATGTTTTAAATTTAATTGTTAATAGAATTTTAAAACTGTCCGACCTAGATTTTCTTGGCCAACAACGTATTAACTTGAAATGGTTGTTTTATAATAAAACACTATAGAATTAATATTATTATTTTAGAGCAACAATTACGGATGAAAAAGGCACACGTGTATGCATATTATGATCATATTTTTCGATGTCACGAAAGATGGTTGAATATTTGCCAGCCAAGTCACGATTTGTTTTGAGTTTGACAGCGGAGATTTGGGAAGTCAAAAGGCCGTGAGAGGTGAGAATGTAATAAGGCGTGTGCTAGCGCGTGCGGTTGAACTGGGGTGAGGACTTTTATTATTAGTTAATTAACGGCTAGGGCCGAAAAAGGGGTAAGTAGGATGCGTGCGGTCCAACTGCCGAAACAAACTAGTGAGTCAACATTCAACTTATGATGGGGTTTTTAAAATTAAACTGAATTGTACAAAACCTTCTTGAATACTCCTTTCTTTAAAAATATAAAATATTTTTTTAAAAAATTAAATATTAAAAAATATAAATATTTTTAATTTTTAAAGTATAATTATTACTTTTATTTTAAAAATATATTTATTGATAATAACTTTATATTTATTGTGAAGTGTTTAATAAAGATAAATATAAAAAGATAAAGTTAGTTTGAAAATAGGTAACTACTTTATTGAGGACAAAATTTGATTAAAAATACCTTATATTTTTAAACGGAGAAAATAATTACTCCCTTCTTTTCACATAAATCAATAAAAATTAGTTATTTAATTAAAAGTACAATAACATTTTAATTTTACCCCTAATTATTATAAATAAAAAATAAATTATTTTTTTAAAATAAATCAATGAGAATATTTATTTTTTTAATTTAATAAGGATATAATGATTAGTTCATTAAAAATATGCTAACAATATCTATTTAGAGATAGAAAAAGATTCTAGAAGATTTTTATATATAGAGATGGAAGGAGTATATAAAACTCCTTTTATTTTTAAAAATTTAAAATTATTTTTCTCAAATTTTATTTCTTTTAATCATAGGCTCCCTTATATAAAAAAACTATGCACCTTTGATAACCAAAAAAATGATAAAACTAATACAAAATTAAATATTTAAATTTTATACGGACAATATTTTTTAGCTATCAATGTCTCAACTATCCAAAAAAATATAATAATGTAATCAGTCATAGTTTTACAATATATTATCTTGTTGAATGACAT